CTGCCCACATCTGTGTGGTTGCCTATTTCCATTTAATTGTGCTTGAATCTGTTTGCGGGGGTGGGCATGCCTGTGTATAAATTGACGCAGCCCCTAGTCAACAACTGCTGAGAGTGTGTGCCTTCCTCAAAATGGGGATTTGGCAGTAAACAAGACACCAGTCCTTGTCCTGGAGCTGACACTAAATTGGGAAGAACGCATAGTCTTGGGTACTGTGAAGTGTGCACAGGAGGGTGGGCGAGGGTGATGGGGTGAAGGACACCGGGGGTGCTGGCACAGGGACATTTGAAGTGAGACCTGAATCCTGCAAGGGGACAGCCAAGCCAGAATCTGGAGGAGAGTATCCCTGGCAGGGAAAAGGGACCTGGCTTACAGGATCAAAAAAACAGTGTGGGCACCTGTGGGCATGGGAGAGTGACTGACAGAGGGCGACCATGCAGGGGCTTGATTTTGATGATAAGTGTAGTGGGGAGCTCTGGAGAGCTTTAAACAGGTGTCATGGTCCCATGGTATTTTGGAAAGATCCCTGTGGTGGCTGGGGTAGGAAGGGCCACAGGGGTGCAAGAATGGAGGCAGCAGTGAGCAGGTTGGCAGCCATCCAGGCGAGTGATTGCCAGGGCCCCCGACTGGGATGGCTGGCGGAGGAGAGAAAGGAGACTGGTGGTGTTTAGAAGGGAGTTCCTGTGTGGACTTGGACATGAGGGAGGGAAGAATTTAGTGTTGATCTTGGGCCCAAGCACCTGAGGGAAGTTGTGTGGGAAGCAGGTTTTGAGGAAAGTGAGAATTTCATGTTAGATGTTAGATTTGAGGTGCCCATTATATACCTGGGTGGAGGGGTCACAGAGGCAGGTGGAACCCCAAGACCCAGGTACCATTTCCAGTCAGGAAACAAGATAGATTTAACACCCAATTAGTGGTGGATTATCTAGGGCAGAGGAGTAGAGAGAGAAGAAATCTGTCTACAGCATGAACCCCCCACACCCAACTCTGGGTAGGGGTGGAGGTTACCTGGAGGAGTCTGCAAAAAGTCCAGCGAAGTGGAAGAAAAAACAGGCCAGAGCAAGGACATGAGCAGCTGTGTTACATGGGACTGAGCGGTAAAAAAAAATGCGGCCAGAATCTGAACCTTGGCTTGGGCAACACAGTGACATTGTCAGCGATTCTGGTAGGTTTCCAGGGTTTATGTCCTACCTCTTCAAGGCATGCAAGTGCCGGGCTGATGGCACAGATAGTATAGTTGCTCTATTGTTGGGAATGTGTTGACATGTTTAGAACCTGCTATCTACTTGAGTATTGGTGTGTGCCGTGGCTTTGCTGTATAACCACGTGCATTGAGAGATATGCACCTCGGTTTATGTGGCACCTGCCTGTGCCTCTGTGAGTGTGAACATGCACGCTTGTCTGGATGTGTGCAGGTGCAAAGCCTAGGATATGTTTCTGTAAAGCTGTTTCCATTCATCTCTGTGCTGTTCAGATCTCTGTGCACCTCTACCCGTAGGCAAAGGCGTGTCTGTGTCTGGGTTGGCATGGGATGTGTGTGTTTGCCATGGGTCAGGTGTGACTCAGCCCTGGGGAAGCAGGTGGCTATGCTGGAATAAGGTGAGTATTGACAGTTGCTGGTCCCTATACAGAGGGACACACAGTGTCCAGAGTGTAACCTTCCACAGGGGGATGCATAGAGCCAAGCCAGGCCTGGTGGGAGAAGTGGCAGTGTTGCCCTAGAGGGTTCTGAGAAGACAGGGTGGCTCCTGGAGGCCCTGGGGAAGGTGCCTGAAACCTTCAACCAGTGTCATCTGCACAGTCCATCTGCCCTGTGGCTGCCTGCCTGTTCCTGCCTGCTTCTCCTTGCTTGCCATCCTGCCTATAGATCTGCTCAGCCACTGCTTCAGTCTTGTGGTTGGGATCCCTCTGCATGTCTGTCATGGGCCTGTCTCGCTCGTTTCCTGCCTGCATATCCATGTGCTAATCTCCTTCCTACCACCTCCCATGTCTCCCCAGAATTTAGCTACTGCCCGTCAGGTTACCCTCCTGCTGGCTATTTCTCTCCTATCTGCCTGGGAGAGTGGGATTTGTCACTTTATAAAGCACAGAACGCTCCTAAGAGGAAACCGGAAAGACAGGTCTCCATGGGAGGTCAAAGGGATTGAGATCCAGACTGTGGGGAGGGGCCTCGTGGTGCAGCTTGTTCAGGGACCAAAGCAAAGCATTGCTCCCTCCCCTTGTGGCCCAGCGGGGGCTGGCTCTGGCTGCTCTGCTGCCGACACTGGTCCTCCCCCAACCACAATGGTGGGTTTTGGATGAAGGCAAGAAGGGGCCTCACACAGGGTTTCCTGGGGCCTGCCCAGTGCTCTGCGTGTTTCCACTCCCCCATCGCCCAGGACAGCTGCTGAGACCAGGGTACAAGGAGAAGGAATAGAAATGGATACTAAGTCCCCTCCTGGTGCCTGATGCTCCCTGTGTGGTTCACAGCACAAATCCCATTTGACAGGAGGAAAGCGAAGCTCCTGCGATGAAGACCATGGCTAGTATACCGACCTTAACATCTAATTTAAAAAAACGTATGATGGGGCTGGGGTTGTAGCTCAGTGGTAGAGAGCTTGCCTCACGTGTGAGGCACTGGGTTCGATTCTCAGCACTGCTTATAAATAAATGAATAAAATAAAGGTCCATCAACAATTAAAAAATATATTTTTAAAATGTATGATGGATTTTTTTTTGTCCTGTGATAGAAAATAAAAAGGAATGATGTGGATTTTTGGAATGACCCCTTGCTGGAGGGCGACACCTGTATGCAGGCAGATGCTGGAATGCTGCAGTTGTGTCGTGTGAAATGAACCTGGCTAAGGTTCTGAACAATGTAAAGTACAAATTTCCTCCACTCTACCCAGCAGTTAGATTCCCAGAAAATTCAACATTTATTATGTTGTGCCCTTTGTCTATGTGTGAGATGGAGTTGGATCCTGGCTCTGGTCATTATAAACAGGTTTCCCCTTATGTTGTGCAGGCTGCAGAGTCTGGTGTCCTCATGGGGTTGTCCGAGATCCCTGGCCCCCACCCTCTAAATGCTAGCACTGACCCCAAGTCATTGTGGTGACTACTGCACCCCCCCACACCCAACTCCAGTAGATGACAGAAAAGGTTCTTGCTGTCCTCCAAGCAGCTCAGCAATTGAGTTTGGGAGAGAGAATCACTAATTGAGTGGCAGGTCAGGTTTTGATGTGCACAGTGAACAACAAATAAGGGTTCCAGAAGACCAGGTAGGTGTGGCGAGGGAAGGATCTGAGGTGACATTCTGAGCAGCGAACTGCCAAAAGGGTGGGAGCTGTGCAGGTGGATATCTGGGGGAAGAGACTTCTGGAAAGGGTGCCAGTGCCAAGGCCGGGGTGGAAGCTGTGCTGGCTCGGGATGGGAGCCCTGTGTGGTGGGGACAGAGTAGGTGAAGGGGAGGGGTGAGGAGTCAGGAGGTGGCAGGCAGGAGCCTCAGTGTGGACCTTCAGGAGCCATGAGGGCCTTTGGATTCCTGCATGGGGTGGAAGCCACTGGAGGGGTGTGAGGAGTATAGGAGGCACACTCTGGCCACCGGCTGGTGCCTGTGCCAAAGCCCGGAGAGGGTTAATGCTGGAGTAGGGGCTGGGGTGGCCGGGAAGAGAGACAGATACAGGCTGACTTGGCTCTGGAGCTGGAACAGCTCAGCCACCAGGGCTCTGTTTCCTCACTTCCTTTCCCACTTTAGACAGCTCGGCCGGCAGTAAGTCTGGCTTCTCTGAAACTGCTCTCCCTGAGGACCCTGGAGGCCGGGGGGTGGCCAAAAGGGATGGAAACTTCTTAGTTCTTACTTTGTTTTGACCTCTCAGGAGCAGAGGAGGCCGATCACATCCACTTTGGGGTAACTACCTTGCTTCCAGGGAGCCCAGTAATAACTTGGGGAAGACAAACAATCCCCTTTCTGATCAATAAATCCACAGTTGTGTGTGCCACTGTGTCAGGCCTAGTTCTCCGTGCCGAGGCCACAGGGGTGAGCAAGACAAAACCCTGCCTGCAAGGGACTTGTGGCCTTGTGTCGCTGAACATAAGCCTGGCACTGTGTAGGTGCCCGGGAGCCGTCTGCACACTGAGACTGGAGGGGTGGAAGGGCAGGAGTGGGACTGCGAGTGGATTCAGGTCCAGGTGCAGTGGGGTGGGCTGGGAGCCACGGCACCTCCCGACAGGGTGGGTATCCAGGACAAGCAGGGTATGGACCAAAGGCAACAGGTGGAACCAAAGACACCTGGGCTGCTGGGGTGGAGAGGGGCTGTCGGCAGACATGGGGCGAGGGGACTGGTGGCAGAGGGGCTGTCCTGGAGCAAGGGCAGGTACCAGGGCCTTCATACCTCTTGGGGAAGCATCTCTTGCTTTAGACACGTGCCCAGAAAGGATCTGCCCCTTTTGTGCTGGGCCTGGGTGAGGGTCTGGCGGAGGGAGGGGCTGGCTTACCTCTAGCTTCACTGCTCAGGAAATACAATCTACAGTCTAAATTTAGGCATGAGAAGGAAGGAAGCAAGGAAGGAACCCCCTGAGCTTCCTACAGAGGGGAGGGCAGGGAGGGTGGTGCAGGAAAAGGCCTGGTCTGGCCCTTCTAATCCCAGCTGCCCTGGACAGGCATGGACATGTGGGCAGTCTTTCTGGCCACACCAGTCTTTGACCAAAAGAATCAGAACTCTCCAGTTGCAGAGGCTCTGGGACCCCTCCTGCCTGGCCAGGTCAAGCAGGCAGCTTTCATCCCGAGACTTAGCTAGAGGCTGGACAAAGGCCTGGGAGAATGGGGGCTGGTACCGAGTCCCCTCCCTGTTCTGGCCACCTGAACACAGGGTGCTGCTTGCTGGCTGGGGTTGGGGTGCCCCTGCTAGCAGAGCCCAGAGCTGCCAGGACCTGCCTTGCTGGAATGGGAAGGGACAGGGTGGGGTGGGGGCCAGAGAGGGAGGCATGGAGCAGGGCAAAAACGGCAGACATACAGGCCACAGTGGCTCCAGATCAGGAAGTTTTATTGCTGACATGCAGGAAGAGTCCCCATGTAGTACAAAAATATGTCTTTATACAAACTTTTTTGTGACTTTTTCCATTTTCTTTACAATAGGACTTCTCCCAGTGTGTGACACCAGTGAGGGCAGACCCGATCTCCTCTCATTTGTTTCACCAGAAGTGTAACCAGACGCACGGGTTGACCTTGGAAGGAACCAGTCTGTCTGCTAGGGCTTTGCAGACCTGAGGATATTGCTTTGAAAAGGAGACAAATCACACATGGAAAGCAGGCCCAAGGGGCTGCTGGGCAGAGGCCCTACCAAGGCAGGCCCTGGCCAGGCCTCAGAGCCTCACTGGAGGATAGTCACAGGGCTGGGAGCCCAGGCCGACTACATTTCTGCTCCCTTAGGAGAATTTTCTTTATCAAATAAATATAGAAAAGAGGCCTCCCCACCCCACAGCACCATGCCCTGGCTCTCAGCGGCTGGACGGCTGAGCTAGAGGCAGAGCTGGGTGCTCAGGGAGTAAGTGCTGAGCTCAGGTGGGCTCCCACAGACCCACCAAGGCAGAGGCACAAGGCGCCCAAGTGCTGGATTGGGAGCATGGGAAGGAAGGGGCGTGGGCGGCCCTGCTACTGCTGGCAAGAGGTGGCCCCATTTTTTCCAGATGGGGAAACTGAGGCACGAGGAGGTTTGGGAACTTGCCCAAGGTCACTCACAGTGAGTCAGTTTTTTCCCCCCCTTGTGTTGGGGGGTGGACAGCTCACACTCTGGGAAACATTGTTGCATCCCCAATGGGGAGCAAGGACAGGTAGAAAGGGCCTTACGCTGCCCGAAGGGGACACTCAGACTCTCTGAGGATACACGGCAGGTAGGCCTCTGGGGAAGGGTCTTTGCTTGGCACCAGAAAGAGCCAAGGATCAGTGAGGGAAACGGGGAGAGGAGGGCATTCTGGTGAGAACAGCATTTCTGGCAAGACGGGCATCCACTTCAAAATCTCGGCTCAAGAGGCAGCAGGGCTGTTCTCAGGCCAGGCGGGCAGGTCCTCAACCCCTGCGATTCTCCCCACAAGCCTCCCACCCCATGGAGGCCCCTGGCCAGGGTCTGTCGGGGGAGACACCCCATCTACTGAGGCAAGGTGGGAGGGGAGACACCCCACGGTTCATTCTCCGAACACCAGGGGTGGAGGCAAGACAGCATGCAAGCAGGGCCCTGTCCCCAGCCAGGCCCACAGTACCCTCCCCAACCCGGTCACAGGCTCCCTTCACATTGGGCTCCATGTTACCTGGTACCACGTGAAGGATGGAGAAGGAAGCAGGGCTAACACGCATGTGCAACACCTCAGAAAAGCTACTGAGATGAGAGAAAGCCAAGTTTAGAAAGAACTCCCATCACTGGACACAAGCCCAGTGGGCTGGGAGCAGAGAGGTCCAGCAAGGAGGACCCCTCTTTGCCTGGAGGTGTGGAGGGAGCCCACATGTGGACCATGGACCCCTGCTGTCCAGCCACAGGGACTGGCCACGGGCTGAGCCACCTAAGGATAGGAGAGAACTTGGTTTCAGTAAAAAAATAAATATATTTGAATAAGATGAGGTGAAGGTTTTCCAAAGCTCGGACTGAGGGGCCGGGGGTCAGAAGGGAGGGATGGCGCAGACTGGGGGACTGGGCAGTGTGGGGTGGCACTCATTCTGGGAGCCAGCAGCGAGCTGCACTTTCAGCTTATTTGACTGTGGGGAGCAGCAGCCCCCAAGCCGGGCAGGCGCCAGCTGGATCAGGGCTTGGGGGAGTGGGTGGGCTCCCTCCTTCTGTCGCTCAGTCCAGAGACAGCGTGGTTAGAGACAGAGGTAGATTAAAATGTCATGATTAAAAGCAGATTAGTCATCTAGGCCTCTCAGATTTAAAAACCAAACAATCAAGCAATCATTCCAAAAGGTAGCTTTGTGGTACCTCTGCTGACCCCACATGTGACCTGGGCTGTCCCTGTCCCTGCCCTATCCCTGTTGCAGCCTGGGAGAGTCCAGCACTATAGGGCCCAGCCTCAACAGGGCTGGGGGCCGGAAGAGGTGGTGCTGGGGCTGGTGCCCCTGGCTGAGGCTGCTATTTCCGCAGGTAGCGCTGTGCCAGGATAGCGGTGTCCAAAGAGGTCATGGGCTGTGCGTCGTGGCCCAGGCGTCGCACTGGTGGCACGCTGCCGAACTGTCTCTTGGGCACCCAGCTCCGGGCCTCGTGAATGGAGCTCTTCTCCTCGGCCAGCAGCAGCTGCTGCCGCATGTAGTTCTCAAACTCGTATTGAGAGCACTCCTCTGTCACCTTTGCCTGTGAGGCCCAGAGGGACCAAAACAAAGAGGGCAGCAGAGAGAGAAGACAGGGTGAGTATGGCACCTGGCTCCTGAGGTCCTTCCTAGACACCACACTTTGGGCACCACTGAGCCTGGAGCCATGTGTGGGTCCCTGAGTGTTGGCCTCTGGCCGATGGCACGGCACACTGCTGGCTGCCCCTGGGCGTTGCTGCAGCAGGCTTCAGCTGCAGCACACACCTGTGCCCTTTCCCACTCACCCAAGAGAGGTGACATTAGCTTCCTCACCATGAGAGGAGTGGCTGTCTCCCCTCACAAACATTCTCTGAGCCCTGACAGGGGCCAGTGTAGACCAAGGGTAAGAGCAAGGCCTGGGGTGTTTCTATCAGTCCTACACGTGGGGCCCGCTGCTGGGCTCCCCAGACACAGGCAGGCAGTGACTGAAACTGCACCAGTCATCACAGAGGAAGTGGGCTTTAGAATCAGACTTGGGTTCAAGGTTCAGCTCTAACTTCTTCAAAGCTGTGTGACTTTGGGGAAATCATTTTACTTCTGTGAACCTATTTCTACCCTTGGGAAGGGGATAAGAACACAGGCCGTGGGGAGGGCTGACTGAGACATACTGGGGTGGGCACTTGGTGCGTACTAGTGACGATGATTTCAGCTGCTCAACAGCCCAGGGAAGGTGGGAGGTGGAGGATAGGCCTGAAACCTTCTCTTCTCAAGGGCCTAGATGCTTTGCTGTGGTCCCAGGCATGGATCCTCCTGCTCCTGCCCGCCCACTGCTTGCCAAGGTAGGCCAGGAAGGGAAGAGGTGCTTACAGTGTATTTCAGGCCTCGTGTTCCCCCAGGGCTCGGCCAAGCCTGACATCGAGGGGGCAGCCTATGATCACTGACGGTTTCTGCCTGGTGCTCAGGTCCCTACCCTAACCAAGGCCTAGCACTTTCTCCAGTGTAGGGAACCGGGAGAAGAGAAAACAGGGATGAATGAATCATCTGGAAAATGAAAAGCAGGAAGAATGAGAAAGAACCCAGTGAGTCAGAGGGGCAGAGAAATGTGACTTGGGCAGGAAGAGGAAGCTCAGAGGGCCAGGCAGGGCCGCCTGCTGTGGGCCTCCCAGAAGCTGGTAATGGGACCATGGGAGTGCTAGCTGAGGAGGACACAGGCAGGCTGCGGCAGCTCAGGTGAGGCACTTTTCTCCTTCCCCACTCCAAGGGCTGGGGAGAAGCTGAGGAGGCCCTGTGCCTGCGAGGGGCTGCCGCCTGGAACCCTCCCCATCTGCCTTCCCCACTCACCTCCTGGGAGCTGTCTGCATTGCTCATCTGGTCATCGATGTCAGGAACCACTTGCAAAGGCCCGCTCAGAGATGACAGGGACTGCCTGCAGGAAGGCAGACTGGTCAGGCTGGCTCCAGGCAGCCCCCACTATTCCAGGCTTGGCTGGGGTCAGACACTCTGGCCTGATACAACTGACTGCTTCTCTGAGCTCATTTGCTCATCCAATAAAGAAAGAAGAAATGCTCTTCCTGTGGCGTGGTGGGAATTCAGGCAATGCCCATCCCACAGCTGGCAGGATCTGGCCCTGCGGGAGACGCTCTATCTTGCACTCTGCCTACACTCTCCCAATCTTGCCCTTTGGGAAAATCTGGACATCTGACTGGCAGAGAAATGGGCTCGGAGTGACCTCTTTTCTGCACAGGACAGACAGGACACCTGGGTGCTCAGCCCAGTGCTAGCCCACTTACCATGATGCAATGATAGCACTGAGGGCTTCCAGGACATCGGTAGCAGCCAGGCGCTGCTGGGGGTCAAGGACCAGCAGTTTCCGGATGAGACACACAGTGTTCTCAGAGACACGTCCATCCCTGACCACAGAAATGGAGGAAAGAGGGCTCAGCAGGGCACCAAAGGGCTGGGTCTCTGACTCTAGGGCGCCCTGTGCTGTCTCCCATTATGAGCCCACAGGGTAGGACCATCCCCTCCCTGGACGCAGGACTCACTCGGGAATGGTGTACTCAGCGGCCTTGATCTTGCGGAAGAGCTCCTGTGGGATGCTGTCGTAGAAGGGGAACTGCCCGTAGAGCATGGTGAAGAGCACCACGCCCAGGGCCCACATGTCGCTCGGTTTGCCCCTGTATGGCCGGCCTGGGGGCAGAGAACACCAAACTCAGTGGCAAAAAGGGCCATGGACACCCCTCAGCTGGTCAGCTAGTGCCTACAATCTCACCTGGGTGTCTCTCCAGCTGCCATTCTCACTCCTGGTCCCCTTCACACACTTGCTCCCAGAGCAAGCACAATGCAGCTTGAGCTTCTGCTTGGAGTCCCTGTCGCCAGGAAACCTGGCTCCACGGGCAATACCTTTCCTGACCCCCTCATCTGTGTAGGGAGGAATCACGCTCCACCATGCCACCTGCTCTGACGAACTACAAGCCCCTGGGAGCTGGGCCTGACTTGGTGGCAGCAGAGAGGCTCCCAAAGCAAGTGGTCAATAATGTTTACAGAACAGCCATGTGGCTCTGGGCAAGTCAGCCACTCCCACTCCCCACTGCTCTCCTCTCATCCCGTGGTTCCTTCATGGCACGGATTGCCACTTTCTTATGTCACTCTCAGCTCCCCCACCGGAAGGCAAGTTCTCAGAGGCAGGCACTGGCTGTGCTGTGCTGTGCTCCCTGCTGAGTCCAGTGCCCAGAACAGACTTGAACATTCGCTTTGTCAACCTCTGTGTTGCAGTTTCCTTACTCTGTGCCATGGTTTGAATGTCCCATTCAGGTTCACTGAAATCTCATTCCGATTCACCTGGACTGATGGGGTTTCTGGACTAGATCTTGAGTGAGTCTTTTATAAACCAGTCTGACTCTGTGTTACTTTTTTTTTTCATTTTACACTTCTGAGGATTGAACCCAGAGGTGCTGTGCCACTGAGCTCATCCTCAGCCGTATTTTTTTGGGGTGTGTGTGTGGTGCTGGGGATTGAACCCCGGTCCTTGTGCATGCGAGGCAAACACTCTGCCAACTGAGCTATATCCCCAGCCCTCCTCAGCCCTTATTTTTACTTTGCCATAGGGTATCACTAAGTTGTCCAGGCTGGCTTTGAATTTGTGATCCTTTTTCCTCAGCCTCCCAAAATGGGCCGGGATGACAGGCGTGCAGTACCATGTCTAGCTTAAACTTTTTAAAACAATTTTTTTAAATGATTATTTTTTAGTTTTAAGTGGACACAACATTTTTATTTTACATTTATGTGGTGCTGAGGATGGAACTCAGTGCTTCAAGCATGCAAGCGAGCACTCTACCACTGAGCCACAACCCCAGCCCTAGCTTATAAACTTTTATTCTTCATAAATTACTAGTCTCTGGCACATGGTTATTGCAACAGAAAATGGATTAAGACACTAGGAAAGAGGGAAGCAGATTCTAATTCTAATGGAGTCCTTACCTTTTTTTTTTTTTTTTTTTAAAGTACTGGGGATTGAACTCAGGGGCACTTGACTACCGAGCCAGATCCCTAGACCTAATTTGTATTTCATTCAGAGACAGGGTCTCACTGAGTTGCTTAAGTGCCTCACTTTTGCTGAGGCTGGCTTTGAACTCGCGATCCTCTTGCCTCAGGCTCCTGAGCCCCTGGGATTACAGATGTGTGCCACCACACCTGCCTGAGTCCTTGCTTTTTGACAGCACTGGAAGAAACACTCATTTTACTAACTGTCCTTCACAACTGGATGACAGTCAGGCAACAGCAAAGTTATCTGCCCAAGGCCACATAGCAGGTGAGTGGCCCATGTCTAACTGCAAAAGGCCTGTTGCTTTCCTATTTTCAGGGCAACCAATTATCTCTCCATCAGCAATAGAGCACCTCTCACTGGTCAGTTGCTGCCTGACCCACTCCTCCAAATGCAAAATGTGAGAACCACTGAAGCCTTCCAAGCAGTCCAGGCCTATGATATATCCTGTGGACTAGCAGGCTGAGGCAGTCCAAATCCCCACAGGCAACTTAGCTCTCTATGGTGTGGAAGAGATGATTCTGGACACTTGTCATTTCACAAGGAGCCCAGCACTGCCTGGGCAACACCACTTTTCTGGGTCACCCTGTAGTGGGTTGTTCAGGAAGTGGTGGCACAGGCCTTGGTTTGCACCTTCATGGAGTGCCATGGAACCTTCTTATCAGAGCCTGTCTCTACATCTGTTAAGGGGATGGTGCTACTGCCAGCTGCAATGGCTGTGTGAGGGAAGAATCTGCTTTGACTATATGGCAGGTGGTTCTGTAGAGACGAGCCCCTCCCAAGTTCTCTCAAGGCTGCAGTACAGAGAAAGGCACAGAGGGCTAAGGTCACAAAACCCAGGCCTCTGGTTCCCCTGCCTATGACTCCTTCTGGTGCAGCAGGTTCCTTTGTTTCCTTCTCCACGACTACTAGCACAAGTCTAGAACAGCAGCCGGACAGGTCACAGGTAGCCGCATGGAGGCCACCATTGCATAGCACCACCAAGGAGGAGCCTTGACCAGAGCTGGTCCCCAAACCAAGTCCTGCAGATTGTCTCAGACCCCACCCTCACATTCCTGAGTAAGGGAGAAGCCTGGCTAACCTTCCTGGCTCAGTCACCTATAGGGATGCTTTGGGGACAATCATGGAGGGTTGTGCTCAGCAAGCTAGGATGCATCCCTGGCACCCAAATCCTTCCAGCAGAAGCTGGGAGTCCATCCAAAATGCCCAGGCCTGGGGTGTGGCAACACTGTCCCTGGCACATGGGAAGCTCTGGTGGAGGATGATAACTTACTGGTCATCATGCTTTCTCCAGCAAAAGGCCACAGCTCAGGAGAGGCTTCCAAAGGGTTACAAATGTTTGTGGCAAGTCACAGCAGCCTGCTCCCAGGATGACATGTGACTTGGGAAGAGGCTGGTCCTGTTGCTACAAGGAGAGGGTGCATACAAGTGTGTTGGGGATGACCTGAATGAGAGGTGGTCTAAGTCCCTGCCTGGTTCCTAAGAGACCAGGACTGGAGGGATCCAATTTTGCAGAGGACCAGGGGAACAGGGAAGGAAACAGAGTCTACAGTGGAATAGGGGCATGGAGCTTAATGGGAGGCATGCCTGAAACGAGGCTCAGTTTTCAGATTTACTGTTAGCTATGATTTTTTTTTAATATTTGTTTTTTAGTTTTTTGTAGGTGGACACAGTATCTTTGCCTCAAGCATGCCAGGCGAGCGTGTTACCCCTTGAGCCACATCCCCAACCACTTAGCTGATATTTTAACAAGAAATGTCATCTCTCTAAGCCTTGGTTTCCTCATCTATTAAAAGGGACTTGGGCTATTTCCCGTGTAGGATAGCTGTGTGGTTCTAAGCAAATTATGTACACCATGTGCTCAGCACAGTGCCTGCCACTTGGATATATGACAGCAGGTGACAGCTCAACAGTTTACATATTCGTGTACTGCCTGCTTCATCCCCGTAGAAAGGGAGCTCCCTGAGGGCAGCAGTGTTCATCTGCTTATTCACTGCTACATCCAAAGTATCTAGGGGAGCTAAGGATGGCTATGCACGTTTGCAGTCCCAGCAACTCAGGAAGATCTCATGACTGCAGACAGCCGGGGCAACTGAGTAAAAACCTGTCTCAAAATGAAATATAAAAAGGGCTGGGGTGGGCTGGGGATATAGCTCAGTTGGTAGAATGCTTGCACAAGGCCCTGGGTTTGATCCCCAGCACCACACACACACACACACCAAAAAAAAAAAAAAAAGGCTGAGGAGTATCCTCAGGAGCAGAGCATCCCTGGGTTCAATCCCCAGTAGTGGGGAAAAAAACGTTCCTAGAACAAGACTTATAGAACAAAGGATCTGGTAGGCCCAGCAAGGATGAGTAGAATGGATGCATGAAGTCCACTGAGGTGTACCTGGTTGAGGCTGGCTCAGCAGCTTCCTTTCACACCTGAGACAAATGGTGTTTCTCAACAGCCCATGTTGATTGAGCTCCTGTGATCAGGCCTCTGCCCACCTCTCTCCAACTTCCATCAACTAAGCTCACTGTCTGAGAGTCTGAAGTTCTTCCAGTGCACCATGCTACCTCTGGGATACTCAGCCTAAGCCAGGTCACTGGCAGCCCTGCCACCCCCACCCCCCCCACCAACACCCCAAGGAGTTCATAGTTCTCTTTAAGATCGCAGCTTAGGGGCTGGGATTGTGGCTCAGTGGTAGAGTGCTCGCCTAGCACGGGCGGACCCGGGTTTGATCCTCAGCACCACATACAAATAAAGGCATTGTGTTGTGTCCATCTCCACCTAAAGAATAAGTGTTAAAAAAAAAAAAGATCGCAGCTTAAATGTCACTTACTGGGAAAGCCCTGCAAGTGCCTTCTTAGGGTCTCTGTGAAATTCTGTGTCTTTCCCTCCTAGCACTAATCTCATGCATGAGTGTGACCAGTCCATCTTCCATTAGACTGCAGATTTTGTATACGGAGGAAGAGTACTGGTTCGGGCCACCAGTGAAGCTCTAGCACCTATCCCAGGGCCTGCTGACAGGCGGCACTTGTTCAGCGTGTGCACTGCTGCAGAGCCCGCCTATGTGCAGCCCACACGTACCGCTGAGCACATCAGGACTGATGTAAGCAGGGCTCCCTCTCTGGTCCTTCAGCAGGTCCCCCTCACTCACAAGATGCTTCCCGAGGCAGAAGTTAGTGATGGTTATCCGATGTGTCCTGGGAAAGGGAGGTAGAGGGTGAACAAATCTTGGTGTCAATAGTCAGGGGTACTAGACAAGAGTGGGGCACCCCGGCTGGGCTAGCCATTAATCCTGAACAAAGGCAGTAGGCTTCTCTTCAAAAGGCAAAACAGCTGCCTCCATCCCAGGGAGCATAGAAATCCTAATCACATCCTTTTCTGGCCACCTGCTGAAATGTCCAGCAAGAATCTGTGCTGCTCTACCCTCTGTGTTGCAGGGGCTTTCTCTGAACCTGGCACTCTGGCTGAGGCTCAGGGGGTACAGACCAGGGCTTGCTTAGAACAATTTTCAGAGATTTCTCCAAAACAGCCTCACATGATATTCTAGGTTGGGAGTGATCTAGAAATTTAGTTAGATTCCTTCATTCACACATTAGAAAATTCTAGCAGAGGTGAGTGACCTTAAAACCTTCCCACTCTGCACTGTGTGGTGGTCAGAGGGCAGCCCTTGAGCCTCCAACACCCTGCCTCACCAAATCCTTCAACCACTGCAGAGAAGGCAACAGAGCAGAAGAGTGTGCCTCCCCGGGGATGAGCACACTTGGGGATCCTGGCCCTGCAGGTACACTTTCCACGTGCCCTGGGACAATGTGGAAGCTGGTCCTACACTGTGATGGTGCCAAGGACCCTGCTAACAGTACAGCCCAGCCTTTCTGGTGGGTGCTGGGTTTCTCCAAGGAGCCTCTGGCCTGTGCTGGCATTCAATCAGCCACAGTACAGGGGCCGAAAAAAGCCTGAACCACCCCAACACTCTTCTCATCCCTGCAGTTCTCAGAGGCTGACAGGACACCAGGGAAGGAGAGCAGCACAGCTGTCACTGCACAGAGCAGCAACAGCATGCCTGCAGTTACTCTGACTTTCCAAAAACCCACTACAGGCTAGAGCATGCCTGGCAGATCCTGCCATTAGAAGGATGGCCTGGGAACCTTTCTGGGCAATTCCAGGACAGTAGGATCTTTGTCAACAAGTGGAACCAGCAGATGGCGAGAGACCCCTCATTCTTATGAGCAAACAGAACTTGGCTTTCTCCTCTTTGTGGCAGAGGGTGCACACTGGTGTAGATGCAGGGTGGCTGGGTGACAAGGAGCCTAAATGCAGGGGGATGGCCTACCCACTTAGGACTGAGTCTTCAATGGCCCTTTCTAGGCTCCAAACTACTGTTCCAAGGCCCCCCACCCCCGACTCTCCACCTACTACTGGGGGTGAGGTCTTCTACTAAGGGCAGTCCATTCCAGAGAGCAGGCCCTGTGAGCTGGTGAGGCCACTTGGGGTCCTCAGGCAGGCTGGGCGAATGGAGCTTTGGGCAGTTGGCCCTCTACTCAGCTTCCTCCCAAGAGAGTGCTGGACACAGACAAGGGCCCTGTGAGGGCCGGGTAGCAGGGAGCACTTTGCCAGGTCTGACACTCCCTGGCATGTGAGGCACGGGCCCAACAGATGCTGAGGATCACAGTACACTGGGCTCTGTGGGCCAGCTGAGGCCACCAAACTTAGAGGGCATACTGCAGTGTCACATGAATAAGATAATGTGGCCAGGGCTGGGGTTGTTGCTTAGTGGTAGAGTGCTTGCCTTGCATGCGTGAGGCACTGGTTTCGATCCTCAGCACTACATAAAAACAAATAAATAAAATATTGTTTCCATCTACAACTAAAAAAAAGAAAAAAGATAATGTGTTCATGAGCTGGTTTACTCCAACAATTTTCAAATCCCTGCAGCACGGTGGAACGCTTCCTGGTGTTTTTCACCTGGAACAACAGAGTCTGGGCTAGGAGCCACTAACATTAGCATCAGGTGAGGAACATGGTCCCTTCAGGTGGAGCAGGTAGGCACAGAGAGGTCATTTAGTCAAGACAGGGTTGGACTCTCCAGGAAGACCCTTGGCATAAGTTGGGGTGCTCCTACATGCTTTGGGGAGTTCCTGAGAAGGTGGGGGGCACAATTTATTTTGGAGGAAATGACCAACGTGGGGAGTTCAGGTGATAGAGGATTCTGGAGTTCATCCTTGGGTGGCACTATTGCCCCCTTCTCCCAATCCCCCTTGTCATTATCAGTTGAGCACTTAGTAAGAAAGAGGCCTGTTCTCGCCCCTCACGCAGCCTAGCAGGGAGCCTTTCTCACTGCCTTGTTTCAGATGGTGCAACTAAAGCACAGAGAAACGGAGACTTAAGGTTCTATAGCTAATGAGAAAGGAGTAGGGTCCAACCCTAGGCTGTAATATCCAGAGCCTGCCACCAGGACTGACTGACGCCCAGCTGTGACTCTGGGCAGTGCCCAGCACATGGCTGAATTTTCCTTCTGTTCTTTCAAGGCTGACTCATCCTGTGTTTTGTACTTCAGACTCTACCCTGACCCAGAAAAGAGGATTCCCTGTCTCCGAGAGTCTTGGGGCAGTGGCTCTGGGCTCTGAGCCTTTCTAGGAAGTTCACAATGTGGACTAAAAAGAAGTCCTCAGGCCGGACGTAATCCCAGTGGCTTGGGAGGCTGAGACAGGAGAATCGTGAGTTCAAAGCCAGCCTCAGCAATGGTGAGGTGCTAAGCAACTCAGTGAGACCCTGTCTCTAAATAAAATACAAAATAGGGCTGGGGATGTGGCTCAGTGGTCGAGTGCCCCTGAGTTCAATCCATGGTACCAGGAGAAAAAAAAAAAGTCCCCAGAGAGGAGCCTTCTGCACACTTGGGGGTTAGAGGGATCCACTGGCTCTCTCTAAGAGGCCCCCGTGGGGGGTGCCAGTGAGGAAGAGTACCTCCTACCAAGCTGTCTTATCCCTGTGTCAGCTGGGTGGGTACAGCAGCTGGGGGTATGGCAGCAAGGGAAGCTTCACAGGGGCCAAGCTGTCTCTTTACAGCACAGTCTCTATGGTGGGGAGGACGTGGGCTCAGAGGTACAGGGTGTGTGGCTAAGGGTGGATTTCCCCAGAGTTGCATCCAAGAGGCTCCAGAGCCCTGCAGCTATCTCGGGGAATTCTGCTGGCAAAGAGCTTGATGCAAACAAAGGCTCTTCTGTCCTCTGCATTCCCGGTGGGAATGTGGGTTCCAGCTCTCACGCAGGCCCACCCTACAGAATTGTGACTGGTGGCCAGAGCCTCAGAGTGCAGGCAAAGGGTCTCAGCAAGGGTCATGAGTACCTTGAGAAATGGGTGGCCCCAGCTCTGAACCCCCTATGTTTTTGCCTTGAACATAAGACTGCTTGGGCCTCTGGTCTGGAAGGTTCCCACAGAGCAGCACTGTATTTTCTCTTCCCAGCCACTGAAGCTGCAAGTGTATCCTGTAGGCTCTGAGGCTGAAGACAGCAGGAGGACAGCTTAGGGGAGGGGACAGTTGGCTCAGGACTCAAGATCTTTGGGTCCTTGTCCTTACCTCCTTGCTGTGTGACTCTTGCTAAGCCTGTTTCCCTCTGTGATACAGGGAGAACACTAGTGCCTGACTCAGGACCATGTTGGCATCTACCAAGGGAAGCCCACTGAAGGTGGCTGGCCTGTGCCTGCTACATAGCAAGCTGCCATCATCCTCATCCTCTGCCAGGGGCTACTGATGGGAAACCCCAGGAAAGACACTATCCATGAGGCAGTGGGTGACGACAGGCCCTAAAGCACATGTGCCAAGGTGGCTGAACCTCTTTGCCATGGCACAAGGTGGGGCTCAGGAAAGAGTGGCTGGGACTTGGGTTGAAGGGGGGCCCAGGCCTGTTCTACCACAGAAGTGCCTGCAGTCTCTCCCACAGGAAGCAACACGGCAGCCTTGAGACCTCCCAGAGCTTGGCAATGCTCCTCTGCCACCCGCCACCACCGCCAACGTGGGCCGGGTGGCTCGCAGCTATCCTCAGGAGTCCCAGATCTCCTAGCTGGTCCCCACAAGAGAGTGAGGACAGTGAGGGGTAGAGGGGGGCGACATGCGTCAGCAGGGTCTGCTCTGAGTGAGTCACGCTTCAGCTATGGCCCTCTGGGCTACCACAGTGTTCCTTTCCTCTTCTAGGAATTGGTATGCAACTTGCCAACACAAAAGGAAGGGGGAAGGAGAAGGAACCATGGCCAACCTCACATAACCCGAAAGAGGACTCAGGATTTCAGCCCTTTCCTTTAACCCAAAGCCTGGGGAAGCTGACCTTGCAGCCACCGCACAAGCACTACTCCCCTTTCCTTCCTGGGGGTGCTCTCTGTCCCGCTGCAGAGAAGCAGTGAAACGCCATGGCCTGCCTGCCTCTCCTGACTAAGAGACCAAGAAAGTAAGGCCTCAGAAGGAGGGGTGTGTCAAGGACACACAGGGAGCAGGGAGGAGTTCTGCATCACACCCCCTTCCCTGCTTCTGGAGCGCCTGCTATTTAAATGAAAGGCAGTCATTTATGGGGGTGTGTCCTCTGCCTGGTCTAAGACTCAGAAAAGGGAATTATCAGATTAAGGAAGTGTGACCTGAGCAACACACACCCCGCCACAGAGCTGCTACAGCTGTACTGGCATGTTCCAGAGGTATGACCTCCCGATTATGTTCCAGAACCTAGGGAGCCAGGGGAAGTGAGGAGAAGCAAACCCACCAGAGTCACAAAGAGGCCCAGCATGCTGGGGATGGAGCTCAGTGGTAGAGTGACTGCTTAGCATATGCCAGGTGCCCTGGGTTCCGTCCCTAGCAGTGAGGTGGAGGGTGGCGGGGAGGGTGCCGGTTTGCTTGGCTAGCAGGAGCCCTGACTCCATGTTCCCCTGAAAACCCTTTGGATGCTCACTTAGAGCAGAGTGGCTGCGGTGGAAGTCCTGAGTTCTCAAGTCCACCTGGACAGAACATATATCCAGAAGCTATCTCTTTGTAATCAGGGGCCGGCAGTCCAGGGAAGGGCAGTGACTGGCCCAAAGTGCCACAAGACCTAGGGTTGTGCAGGACCCAAGTCTCCCTCTAAAACAATACACTCCCCACAAATGAGGCCTTGGTGGCCAGCACTGTCCAACACCTGTGCTTCTCTTGTGATTCAGAGGTGGGGCTGTGAACTGCTGGCCACCCTCATCAACCATTCACCACACAGCAGGCCCCATCTCCAGGGGAAAGCCAGCACATGGCCTGTCCTCCTGTCTCTCAGTCAAAGGAACCTCCAGGCCCCGCTGGATCAGCACTCAGGGGTACCCTTCTGATGAATCAAACCCCTACAGACAGTTTCACATCCACTTATTTGCATCTAAAGCCACTCTTTCCAGGAAAGTAAAATCATCTCCACTTTCACAAATGAGGAAACAGGAGCTCAGGTAATGTTTAGGCCAGGCACAGTGGTGCATGCCTGTAATCCCTGTGACTTGAGAGTAGCAAGACCCTGTTCTCAAATAAAAAAAAATAATTAAAAAATAAAAAGGGTGTAGTTCACTGTAAAGCACCCCTTAGCTTAATGCCTAGGAAAACACACACACACACACGGACAAACTCTCATGGTCTCCAAAAATAAGTAAGAGACAGCAACCCTGGGACATAAGCCAGGTCTGACCCCCAGGTCATGCTCCTTCATCTTCCCTAACTCCTCACTTAGCCAGATGGGGTTCAAGCAGCCCTGGAATTTCCTGTTTCCCTCCCTCTGCCCTTCAGAGAATGACAGGGTCATGTTCTCATCTCTGTATTTTCTCAGGCTGGCAAATCTTTACTCGTCCTTCATAAATCAACTCAGCTGGCAGACTCACTACCCTTGCATGTGCACCCACATTTGTCTTCAATCTGTGCTGTCTTTGGTCACACCTCATCAGATGCTGATCTCCCTGGGGGGTAAGAGCTGCAGCACCAAGATCTATACTAGGGGTTGGCAGAAGGATGGAGACAGCTTGGCCATCTGCTGCCCTCACCCTCCTCTCCAGAGCGTACCTCACTGCAGCTTCTTTTCCCCTGACCATTGTGGTTTTACAGGGACAGCAGGCTCAGGGCCCTTCCTGGGCTGGGCTGACCACATCACGAAACAAATCACCCTGTCATTTCTGCTGTGAATCTGTACTGCTGGCCATTTAGAAGTTTTTGAGCCCACTTAGAGGTGAGAGAGTAAAGGAGGGAGACTCAGAAGAGCAGGTGAGGGGAGATGCTCCCTTCCTAGCCCTGAGGTTTCTAGGACTGTGGTGGCCCAGAGCAGTCCCCTCCAGACCTGTTTTCCCTGAGTCTCTGCCTGATTGATGCTCCTCTACCACTGCCTGAGATCACTTCAAAGTGGCTCAGGCCCTCTGTTGGGGTGGATTGATGACCTGAGATGGTCCTCTGCCTTGGTTCACAGATATTACTGGGATAAGTCACTCAGATGTCCCCCAAGACCGAGGTGTTCTCTTTCTGATGCTGGAGTGCTGGTTTCTGACCACTCAAGAGTTGTGCCCTCTCCAGGAAGTTCCAAGGGCCAAAAGAAACTGCTGCTTACTCCAGGCTATGCCCCTCCTTAGGCACAGCACTTCCAGAGTCTGGTGGTTGTGAGGCACAGAGGTCATGCCCCCTTTCTCTGAGCTGGGAGGTCTGACGGGCATCCGGCTCCCACACTTTCAGGCTGAGGGTCTGCTGTGACTTCCCTGTGCTTCAGCCTTCCCCTTGTCTCAATGCCACCTTTTCCTCTCTGAGCGCTCTGCCCAGTGAACCTCCTCACACACATCCCGTCTGTTCCCTGAGGAACCCGACCTATGGCAAGGTCTCCTTTCACTCATTTCTTCACCGTTTGCTCATTTTTACAGTTATTTACTAAGCATGCACTAGAAGCCAGGCATGACCAATGATCATGTCATGCTGGGGCTGACAGCCCCAATCCTCTCCAGACCCGCTCTGTGAGGCTCTTTATGTCTGGTCTCAGTGAGCATCAGATTCCCATGTGGCAAAGGACAGAAGCAGCCACCTCACTCCAGAACCCTGGGATTGTGGGCTTTTTTGAGCCAGGATTCCCATGGGAAAATTGCAGGGCACTAGGTAGCTGTAGCCTGTAGCCTATCCTAACTCCAAAGTTATAGCACAGAAGAGGAAACCGTCTTACCTTTTATTGAGCACCATGTTCCCAAGTTTCAGGTCTCTGTGCACAATATTTTTCTGAAAACCAATAGGCATATGGTTTGCACATGAAAGTTAGAGGTGGACTGGGGCCAGCCTATTAAAATGGGGCTCTCCAGGGTTTTGAAGGAAGGAAAAACCCTAGGATATGTCTCTTAGACCTCATTAGCCATGTGTCTAAAAGGATAAGCCAGGGCAGTTTCCTTAAGTCCTTCTTCCCTCAGGGCAGAAGCTAATGAATGGGGGGCTGGGGATGTGGCTCAAGTGGTAGCGCGCTCGCCTGGCATGCGTGCGGCCCGGGTTCGATCCTCAGCACCACATACAAACAAAGATGTTATGTCCGCCGATAACTAAAAATAAATAAATAAATAAAAAAAAAAAAAAAAAGAAGCTAATGAATGGGTAAAGTCACTATCTTTGGTACTGGAGATTTGGGGGGGGGGGGGGGGGTTACCACTGGGCGACATCCCTGAGCAACTTTTATTTTTTATTTTGAGACTCACTGAGCTGCTTAGAGCCACTCTACGATGCTGAGGCTCATTTCAAATTTGTGGGTCTCCTGCGTCCCTGGGATTACAGGTATGTGCCATTGTACCTGGCAACTTCTTTTCTTCTTCCACCAACCATTCCATGGAAACAAGCTTTGGGCTGGGGTTAGGGCTCAGAGACAGCTGTCTTGATTCTGTAATCAACTACTACAGGCTCAGAGCACCAAATATTTGTGTCTGGAAGAGGCTCAGGTTTCTCTACCCCCATACCTAGGGGTGCCTAACATCCCAATCCTACAAAAAACTCAGATGTTTTTTTGTAGTTGTCAGGGGGATATCTCATATCCACCTGAGTTGGGAGGCTACAATTTAGTTTCTGGACTGAGGAGAATTACTGCATGGGGCTCTGCAGGGCTATCCAGTCAGCCTTAACTGGGAATGTGTGGACTGTGGCCTGCGGCACTGAGCCTCACCACTCAGGGCATCTGCCCTTCAGCCACTTTTCTCTGAACACTCCCAGCTGCAAAACAGCAGGACAGAGTTGCTTTCTGCTGAGCAGCAGCAAGAAGGATGGTTTTCTGTGACACATGGGGCCCTGGCCACTCCCTGGGGAAAGAACAGGGAGCTACAGGATATGTGGGTTCTCACCTGGTGCAGGGCTTCCACCACGCGTACCACGTCATAGAAGATAACCACAGTCTCCCGCTCGCTAAGCCTCTTCTCCTTGATGACGTAGTGTTGCAAGTTGATCAAGTCAGCAGTCTTGTCACTGAAGTCGTGTGCACAGAGGCAGTCCAGGACAAGGCAGATGCGCTTCTTCATCTTCTTAACCATTCGGCTAGATTCTGTATCCTCAACAATTTCACAGGTGCGATCCTGAGAGGTAAGTGGGCAGACAGGGCTTGACTGTGGACCCAGCAGGGCCAAGGCCAGGGGTTTGGGATCTCCTCAGGAGCTGTACACTCAAACCAACCAGAGCCTGGATGAAGACTGCAGGTGTGGGAGGTGGAAGAATGAGGCCCAAGGAGCCAGATGGAGTGCTTAACACAACTCAGCTTCCCCACACCAAGTGCCAAGACCAATGGGCTGAGGATAAAACATCTCAGGTTAAGAATTCATACTTTGCTCATAATGCAAAGGACTAGCATCTGAGCTGAGCATTTAAAGTCAACTGGGTATTTAAACCCTAATGCTCAGGCAGCAAAAGTGGGCCTTGGGGCATCTTCCTTCCACAACACTCCCACCAAGGTAACTGGCTTTAAAATGACCACATCACCAACACTTTTTCTCACTAATGTAACTTCCTTTCAATGTCCATTATGATAGACACAGTTAAGTTAAAGAGTAGTCAATCCTAAAAGGCTCCAAGAGTCACACAGTTCTGTGTCCAACACAACTGTTTTCCCAGGTTGCAGCATTCCCAGGTAGTCACATAATCATGGCTAAGAGTGTGGCTCTGTCCTCAGAAAGCTGGGTTTGGCCCCAGCTTCTCCTTGTCTTAGCTGTGGGACCTGGGGTAATTTTCTTAACCTCCCTGAGTCTCTGGTTCCTCATCTGTAAAAGGGAGCTGGCAATACCCCTCCCCAATTGTTGAGAATTAGAAATGAGAGAACTTATGTCCAGTGTCAAAGCCAGGGCTCAGTAGGTGGGCACTGTGACCTACACTGTGGATACAAGAATCACTCTCCTTGTTGCAAAGTATTCCAAGTGAGATAAAAATAAGGACAACATGGAGACTTTAATCCCATCATCTTAAGGAGGCCCGTGGTGTCATCCCAAACAGGCTGACATAAACCATGGCCAAACTTTCAAAGATGTCAGAGATGAAATACTAAAAAATCACAAATACCCTCAATGCTTTCATATTTAAAGGAAACACTCTAACCTTTAGAATTGCCTGATGATACTCTGAGTTGCCTCTAACTGCAAATCTAAGAATGAGACCTTATGGGGTATGGATGTGGGATGTGGGTGGCATTTTCCATTTGTTTTGTCAGGAAATCAAGTTGATGAGGAGTTGTTATTCTTGAAACAACAATGATGATGAGAATGTGCCACAACTGCTGGGTGTGTTACACATACACTCATTAATCTTCCTGGCCACCCTTTGAGGGAGGTGCCATTATTGCTTTCTCCATTTTACAGATAAGGAGTCTAAGACTCAAGTCCAGAGCCTGACTCCAGGGCTATCAGCTTCAAAATGTGTGTCCTCCCTGGAATGCTACTGCCTCTCAAACATCAGATCTGCCTTAGGAGCTGGCCCTGGGCAGGCTGGCTGAAGGTTCTGCACAAGCTCTGCCAACACAGAGGCTGCTCCCAGGCCTGAGCTGGGGGCCTCCTGGTCATCCTGGCTCTTCATTACGAGAGAGAGAGACAGCTTCATTTCTGCCCCAGGATGGCTCTTCTCAGAGTATCATCTGCTAACCAGTACCTGTACCGAGGAACCTGGAACATCAGAGCCTGGAAGCTCAAGGCCATTTGCTGAACCAACTGAAATGCCTGGGCAGACAAAAGGCCTGGTGGTGCCTATAAAAATCTAACAAGACCCTTACTGGCCCTTCCTCACTGCCCTCCCTTCTGCCCCAGCATGCCCAGCTCCTGACAATGCAACTGAAAAGAGCCCTGATGTCCTTTTTAATTTTTTTGATAGAAGGGATCAAACCTAGGGTCTTGTGTATGCTAGAAAAACACTTTATCACAGAGCTATACCCTTAGCCCTTTTAAAATTTTTATTGTGAGACAGGATCTTGCTAAATTGCCTAGATTGGCCTCCAACTTGAGATCCTCTTGTCTCAGCCTCCTGAGTAGCTGGTATTATAGGCATGCACTACTATGCCCAATTGAGCCTGGGCATCTTTAAGTGACTTCCTGCTTTCCTTTCTTCTTGGAAAACCAATCTTTCAAAAAAGCCTGGCTGCTGAAAGAAGCTTCTGCACCACAGAAGTGCTATAGAAGCTAGTGTGGCCCCAGCCTGACTTCCACCCACCCCAGAGTTCCTGATACACCCAGCAGGGCAGGTATACTAGTGAGTCATATGCTAGGAGTTGTTCGTGGAAACATGTGCTCTCAGCAAGAGAGGTTAGGTGAGGGGTTAGGTGAGGATGGAGAACAGGTCACTCACCTGAAAGAGCCCGTGGTGGTGGACCACACCGTCCTGCGTGTGCAGGAGGGAGAGCAGAGAGTACTCGGTGTGCAGCAGCATCTTGCCCTGCCTCTCCTCCTGGCTCTCTATGCCTTGGTCACCCCTCTCCTCAAGGGTAAGGATCTTGAAGGAAGCACAAAAAGAAAACCAAAAGAACAAACACCTTTCTTTACCCAGCAGAATGACTGCAACAGGGGAAGCAGGGAATTTGCTTTCTACCATGTGATACATGTGCACAACTCACACAAACACACACACACACAGAGTGAAGTGAAACCATTTTTCTTAATGTGACAGGCATGTCATTTATGCACACATAAACCTCTTTAAATCGGGAGTTATTCTGAGCACAACTGTGTGAACTTGATTACTTCCAGGAAAGAAATGGTGCTACTCTTGCTCATGGGAGCAATGCTGGTGTGAAGGTAGAGAGGAGGGTGGAATGGGCTGCCAGGATGGGCCGTGGGTTCCCGTCTCGCTTACCTTCAGTTGATAAAAGTCATCTGTGCCATCCTTCCTTGCCAAACACTGCACAATGCTTGGCACTGGTGAGTTGCCCAAACGAGGACCTAGGGCACAGAGGACCACTGGCTTACTTTTCAGAAGCCCTATTACAATCCCATGTCAAAATCCCATGTGTGTATCACAGTTCATCCCCACTGGACTGACCACTCAATCTCCTGGTGGAGAATTCTCATAGTCTTTTCTCCATAAATAGAGAGGGATGCCTACAATCCAGTTACTTGGGAGGCTGAGGCCGGATGATCACAAGTTTGAGGCCAGCCTTGATAATTTAGTGAGAACTTTTCTCAAAATATATAATAATAAAAGAGGACTGAGGATGTGGCTTAGTGGTAGAGCGGTACCAAATTCAGTTTCTGGTACCAAAAAAAAAAAGAAAGAAAGAAAAGTGGGGGGAGAGATAGAGACCGAGATGGGGGGGGGGAGGAGGGAGAGGGGGAGAGGGGGGAAAGGGAGAGAGAGAGGGAGGGAGGGAGGGAGGAAGAGGGTAAGGGTGAGGGAGAAAAGGAAAAAGGATGTGTATGCATCTAGTATCTGCCTGAGATGCACTTGGCTTTTGATGGCACATTCCTCAAAACAAAGGTTTTTACTTATACTGGAATTTCTAGGGAGCATCTGTGAGAAAAGGCTGCCAAATGACCCTCTAACCCAGTGACCCCAGAGTGAGGATCTAGGACACTACAGCTTAACAGGTTCCCCTAGTGATTTCAATATAGCTACCTGATCTCTGCTAAGTGCCAGTTGTTGGGACCTTCTGTATTTCTGCAGACACATGGTGCTTGCTGTCCCGGAACAGCATCTCCCTGATCTTTCAGAGCAGAAAGATGATCACGTCACAATGCCACTGCTCTTGAAAAATCCTTAACAGTTACCTACTTTTTTTTTTTTCCTTGTGGTGCTGGGAATTGAACTCAGGGCCTCGTGCATGCTAGACAAGTGCTCTACTACTGAGCTACATCATCAGCCTCTGCTGTTCTTTTTTTTTGTGGGGAAGGGTACCTGAACTCAGGGGCACTTGACCACTGAGCCACATCCCTATCCCTATTCTGTATTTTGTTTAGAGACAGGGTCTCACAGAGTTGCTTAGGGCCTTGCTAAATTGCGGAGGCTGGTTTTGAACTTGCATGTGCCACTGCAAGTGGCTGCTATTCTTAACATACAACCCAAACTCCTTCCTTTGTTCTCTAAGGGCTTGCATGATTTGTTCCAACCCACCTTTCTAAGTTTTTTTGCTTTTGTGTGCAATTCTGGAGATTGAACTCAGGACCTCTTTTATGTCCTGCCCACCTTCTAACTTGTACATTCCATTACTGCACTGTCCCATCCCCGCATCCTAACAGGCTCTTAATTCCTAACACAGTCGGCCCTTTCCTTCCTTTGCACCTCTGCACAAGCTGTCCCTTCTGCCTGGAATTCTTCCCCCTGATTTTCACATGGCTGCTCCTTCTCATGCTGGGGTGTCAGCTTGAGTGTCACTTCCTCAGAGTCATTTCTTGGTTGCACTATCTACAGGTCTTTCTCATTCTCACACCATCTGTTTACTTCCTTCACAACTTTTCAAGCACCAGTGATGATCTTATTTCTTGTTTACTCTGTTTATTTCTAACTAGAGTGTTAAATTCCATGAGGGCAGGAACTTATCTGTCTTTATCATTGCTGTATCCCTGGCAAACAGCACAGGCCTGGTATGCAGTAAGTACCATTAACTATTTGATGAATGTCTGAAGTCTGAGCTATCTCCTATGCCCATAAGTCCAAAATGTTGTCCCAAAGCAAAAGTCATACCTGGCCTCTAGCAACACGAGAATCAGGGTCCCCTGAGGACCTACATCACCTGCAACCCTGACCATATGACTTGCTGGCCTCAGATATTATGTAGAAACACCAGCTGCTCCTCTGGCCTACTGGGAACAACCAATTCTACGGGATTTCTGTACATATAAGAAGGGTTAGGGTTGCTATACAAAATACTCTGTGAAATTAATCATGCCATCTAAGAATAGTCAAAGTAGTGTCTTCAATGATGAACCTTGGGTTCTAATTTGGTTATGTGTTTGCTGTGGGTACACTGATCTAAGGCTGGTATGACAACAACAGAACTGATAACCATTGGCAGAGTGATCTAGGGGCTGGTCTTTCAGTGACATAATGCTCTAAATTCAATCCCCAGCGTTATAAAAACAAAACCAAAAAGCCACAACAACAAAATGAAGTGGTAAAGTGAAGGTTCAGGCTGAAGGCTGGTCAGGACCACACACTGCTGTCTGCCAGTCTGACTGTGTGAGCCCACATGCCAGGCCCTACCCTGAACACACCCACCCACTTTGTTGGAGACTTACCGAGGATGAATGGTCCAGCTCTCTTGGCGTTATTTCCAGAAATCCCACTCCCTAGAGCCTTTGCTCTGGCCGACGTTTCCCCAGCTCCTCTGTCTGATGCTCTCCGCTTCATTCTCAGCTCTAGACAAGACAGAAAAGATCTCATTTGATGAATAAGTCGGCAGCCTCCCTTACGCCAACCTGGTCTGTGAATCTGATTCAGGAACAATCACACACTACCACTGCTGGCCCTCCACTGTTGCTGCTGCCTCCTCCCCACCTGGAGGAGCATCCGAGGTTCCCAGTGACAAAGAACTACATACAGTTCTTTCACTTGGGATTAATTAGGTGCTAACAGAGGGTATCCTTTAAGGCAGCAGATAGGAGCCACATAATTGGGGAGCCAGCCTGATGCAAAAGGGTTGGTGAAATGCAGAGGAGGAATCTGGGCTTTATAGAGATGACAAAGCCAAAGAGGAGCCTGAGAGACAACACAGGCAGACAGGAGGGGAGCCAGTCCCATCCAACTGCACCCAGCCCTAAAGCACCTGTGCCCATGGTGAGGCCTGCCTCCACAAACACATACAGCCAGAGGGTCCATGGTGCCCACTCCCTGGGCCATGTCTGAGGAGTGCTGGGGCATGGGCCCTAGGAAATGACCTGTTATACAGGAGGCCGGGTACACCTGTGCCCATGAAGGATGAGGAGTACAGCCCAGAGGACTTCCCCACCTAAAATTTGAGCTCCTCTGAAATGAAAGAACACCCAAGTTTTCAATGGGTGAGGGGGGTCTACTTCCTCTTCCCTCTCCTACTTTTAAATTTTTCTTTAATTACTCCACATTATTATTATTATTTTTTATATTTATTTTTTTTTAGTTTTCGGCGGACACAGCATCTTTGTTTGTATGTGGTGCTGAGGATCGAACCCGGGCTGCACGCATGCCAGGCGAGCACACTACCGGTTGAGCCACATCCCCAGCCCCAATTACTCCACATTATGTACAACCACAAAAATGGGATCCTAATCAGAATAAGTTATATTCCATGTACGTATAAGATGTCAAAATACGCTCTGTCATGTATATCTAAAAAAAAAATAAATAAAGAAATGAATTTTTTTTTAAAATGTCTGTTCGAGTTCAGCACAAACCCAATTTTTTTTTAAAGAGAGAGAGAGAGAGAGAGAGAGAATTTTTAATATTTTATTTTTTATTTGGCAAGCACAACAACATCTTTGTTTGTTATGTGGTGGGTGGGTGCTAAGGATCAAACCCAGGCCGCACGCATACCAGGTGAGCGCGCTACAGCTTGAGCCACATCCCCAGCCCGAAATGAATTTTTTTCTCTTTAATTAAAGGGAAAAAAATACAATGTGCACATAAAGTCGGATGAAGAGCACCACTGGAGTTCGCTGATCACTGACTTGCTAATAATCCCCATCTCCCCCAGGCGTTCAATAAAAGGGGCCATAGGAGCCCTTTTATTCTAGTTTCTGGACAACAACAACCTCTCGACATGGATTTAAAAACAACAAAGAAAGAGTTGTTTCTTTCAGAAAGTCAGACGTCTCAGGAAAGCAAAGCCCAGAGGTGATGAGCAATGAAAGGTGCACACAAGGAAGGCAGGGCTCACAGGCTGCTCAGTGTGGCGAGGACTCAGGCAACATCTCCCTGAGTAGGTATCAGGGGTGTGCCAGGCAAGGACCCTCTAGAGGAGGGGTCTGGGTGAGCAAATCCAGAGGTAAGAAATGGCACAAAAGTAACAAGTTCCAAGTAGTCTGTGTTGCTGTAGTTCCAATGTGAGGCAGGGAGTGGTAACCAGGGGCCCAGAGAGAGAAACCAGATGACCACATTAGGGTTGTAGCCGCCACCCTTCCCTAAGGGCCCAGAACAACAACATTCTCCCGTAAATTCTTTCTTCACATAAAAATAATTGATGTTCCCTGTAGAAACACTAGAGAACACAGATGTCGGAAAACAAACAAACAAACAAGGAAGTGTCCTCTCACCACCCAGATGCAACTGCTGTTAACATTCAGACAGACTTCTCCTGAGTGTATACTAATATTAAAAAAAACTCTTTCATTATTACAACAATTTGCATGAACTGTAATGCCACTTTGTGAGCTTCTTTTTCTCCCACCTATTATAAGTGTGATATTTATAGTATGGGAAATATATCCTAATAAAGCTGTCACCAAAACAAAACAAAACCCACCCTGATAGTCAGGCACAGTGGTACACACCTGTAATCCCAGATACCTAGAAGGCTGAGGCAGGAAGATCACAAGTGTGAGACCAGCCTGGGCAATTTAATGAGACCCCATCTTCAAATAAAAAGTTGGCCAGGATTACTACTGTAATCCCTGTGACCCGGGAAGCTGAGGCAGGAGGATTGTGAATTCAAAGCCAGCCTCAGCAAAAGCAAGGAACAACTCAGTGAGACCCCGTCTCAAAATAAAATATAAAATAGGGCTGGGGATATGGCTCAGTGGTTGAGTGCCCCTGAGTTCAATTCCTAGCACACACACACACATATATATATATGGTTGGGATATAGCTTAGTGGCAGTGGCAAAGTGCCCTTGGCTTCAATTTCCAGTACCAAAACCAAAACCAAACCAAATGTAAAAAACACCCCAAAGAAGATATTCTTTTTTGGTATCATGTGAGACAGCTACAGTTTTCTTGGTATAAATATATTATGACTTATCTGGCCTCTTCCAATATGGACATTCATATTCTTTCCACTATTATTTTTTATTAACAGTCCTGCACATACAAGTATACATTTTGCATCCTTAACTCTCTCAGGATAAATTCAAAGAAGTGAGACTTGAGGGTCAAATGGGGTACACATTTTTAAAGGTATTTAATGATGTATACCACACCAGGCTGTTCTCAAGAAAGCTGTGCTACCAAGTGAGGTGGCACACATCTGTAATCTCAGCAACTCAGGAGGCTGAGGCAAGAGGATTGCAATCTCCAGCCTCAGCAATTTGGCAAGGCCCTAATTCAAAAAGTAAAAAAGTCTAGGGATGCAGCTCTGTGAAAAGTGCTCCTGGGTTCAGTACCCCATTACCTACCTCAAAAAAAAAAAAAAAAGAAAGTCATGCCAACTTCTTCTCCCATCAACTGTGTCGGGGAGAGTCCCAGAACCTGTGCAGGATCATTTTCTTACTCTTAAAAATGACTATTATGATGAATAATAAAAAAGAAGTCTATCATTTAAAAAATTCACATTTAATAATTTCTGAGATTAACCTATCTCACATGCTTACTAGTTGTAGGTATTCTTTTCTTTTTTACATAATACCTCTATTTTATCTATCTATCTATTTATTTTTATGTGGTGCTGAGGATTGAATCCAGGGCCTCACACTTGCTAGGTAAGTGCTCTATCACTGAGCCACAACCCCAGCCTCTGTATGAATTATTTCTTTTGTGAATTTCCTTCATATTTTTTATGAAGGAAATAAATTTTATTGTTCTAATTAGTTACACATGACAGAAAACATTTATGCACTTTATCATGTGTAAATGTAGTATAACTTCTCATTTAAAAAAATATATTTTTTTAGTTGTAGGTGGACACAGTGCCTTTATTTTATGTATTTTTATGTGGTGCTGAGGATCGAACCCAGCACCTCGCACGTGCTAAGATGAGCACTCTACCACTGAACCACAACCACAGCCCCTAATTTCTCATTTTTCTGATTGTACATGTTATAGAATCACATTGGTTTCATTCATATTCTTTCTTCATTTTTTTTACTGCTATATGTCTATTAGTGTTATTGTTTTTAGGAGTCCTTTATATATTAAGGCTATAACTGACATAGAATGCAGTTTTTCCTTCATCTTTAAACTTATTCTGAATATAAAAGGTTAAATTTTATGTAAATATTTTTGTCTTTTCATTTAGTTTGATTTTACTGATATTCCTGAAAGACCTCCCATATCCTGAGAACAGATAGGTATTCAAGAGGTGGGACGAATCCTCACATGCTGCTGTTCTGGCCCTTGATCCAAACACCAGAAGAGCACTGGAAAGATGACCCCACGCACTGTTGGCTTAAGCTACCAGGCTTCCTTCCCATCAGCTATGATTTGTTCTCTGAGCTGGCCACTGGGGAGCAGAGCTACTGCTTCATTCTGAAGAGTGGTTAACTCAGTGGGCTCAGCAGTCCCAAGATGAGTAGAAGCCAGTTAGATCCGAATGTGACCTAAAAAACAGGGAAGAATGAAACTGCTTCTAGAAACATCTTATAAAGATGGGCAGTCTTGCATCTGGCCCAGCATTCCCACTCTTAGCGTGGCTAACTCCTAAGCAACTATCATTTCCTCAAGGAAGCCTGATCCCAGTTAGTCTCATAGTACTCTGTCATTTCCTTCATAGCACTTCCCACATTTTGTAATTATGTATTTATTTGTATGTTTGTATGCTTAATGTCTGTCCGCACCACTAGAAAAATTCCGAACCTCTGAAAGTTCTATAAAGAAAAAACACTCACATACATATGCATGTACTTATATGTGTGTGCTTATATATCTACATGTATCATATATATATTTATAAATATGGGTTTATATATATAAATAAAAGCACTGCACTTCAGCAGGTGCACCATGGTTGGTGAGAGTTATTTCCAGGGTTAACAGACCTGTGCTTGTCCTAAGCTGCCCTGGTAATAAATAAATGGTATCACATATTCTGATTCCATCCTCCATCTTCCCTGGGGTGCTGAGCCTCTTCTTCTTCCTGATCCCTGGAGAGCACTGGAGAGCTGCATCACATCTGTGTAGAAGCTTCTTACATCCTACGCATGGTCTAGACGACAGTTTGCCAGGAGGAGCTGCAGCCCAGACAATGAGTGAGCTCAGACCAACCCCACCTACCCCACTCAGGATTCAACTCAAGCAAATGGCACGGGAACTGCTCCAAGACACAGGCAGACAGAAGGATGGGAACAGATGGGCAGGGAGAGGGAGGGAGAAGGTGCTGGCGGGGAAGAGGTAGCCAGGCTGCCTCCCTTCCCGAATACCCTTTCATAATACCCAGAGTTGATGGAAGCAAAGCAAGCATGGTGGAGAGGCAAGCTCAGTAGATTGGAAGATGTGGGGGCAGGGCTCACTAGTGA